CGGAATATATGCTACGGCTTATGAATTTTAAGATCATTTAAAGGGAGTCTGTATAAAGCGTACGACCTATCTGTATCTTCGAAACTATTTTTTTAAATCACGTAGTAGACAACAGATAATACACACTTCACAGCATAAAAAGAAATGGGAAAGATTAATACACAGCAGGCAAAAGAGCCTTTTTTTCTTTTTTTAATTTCATGCTAGTCCACAAAACCTTTCCAAAGGGTCTGCACACTTGGTATGAGTAGGCAGATACGATGAACAGAATTTGTTTGAAAGTAATTAAGAACTCTGGTAACTGTAATCCTGATCAGCACTTCTTCAGTTGTTTTAAGTGAACTAGAAGAAAAAAAAGTTTAAATTTTCTTTCTTACACAAATGTTTCATTTCTTTATCGCAGCAAAAAATGCCAATAACCTACATCAAACAGTGAAGGAATTGCTTTAAAGCAAAGACCACAGAATCCAAAAGCAGATTCTCCCTTTTTTGTTGTGCACACGATTCTCATGCACTTGTCTTAAGTTGACATTGCTCAGACAGCTTTCAATTGCCTAGAGACTTCTAGAGCACTTGCTCTAAAAAGACATAAGTCTACTGTGGGTCCTAACTTATTTCCGCTAGTCTCCTGTCAGTATCTCACCTGAAGTGTTAAGGCAGCTTCATTCAGCCCTCAGGACAAGATAAGCATCATTAAGAAAAAGATGCATGTACTACAGATGGTATTTTCAAAGCATTTCAATTCAAAAGTAACAAAATGCTTTTGGATATCTCAAGCTTCAACCTGTCACAGTGAAATAGTGAGCACCGTTCCCACAAAGAACAGAGCATCACCCAGCACTTATGCAATCTGTGGAAAGATATTGCATCTTGCGCTTCTCCCTGTCAAGCAACTTGTTTGCAAGCCCATGTAATGCTCTACAGAAGTGTTATGGTAGCTTGCTAGTGACCAGTGTCCCCTGTGTATGTGGGAAAAAAAAAGAACCCAGCACAGAGGAGCTTGTTTGTACTCATACCTACCCACATTACTAGAGTAACCCTGATGAAAATTAATGCAGTTAAATTAGTTATACTGCTCCAAGTGTGTCTTCACTATGCTTCTTAAATCTATTGTCACAAGCAAATTCAAGATAGCTGGACAACTCCAGGAACACTGATCAGTGATCCAAGTCAGAGAGCTCAGAGTCAGTCCCCCTGTCCGACTGCTCACTAGAGCTTATAAAAAAGGGTTGGAAATGGCATGTGTAGTTAAATCAGGAATGCTTTCTCTCAGTCTATATTCAATTACTAATACAGAACCAAAAACTGTAGAGGGAAGAATACTTGAGGATTATGACCACCTTTCAAATCATAAGCATACAAAACAACTTAGTTTGACAGAGTCAAACTCATGGTAAGATTCAGAATTTATTAAAAATTGAAGATTTTGCTACCTTGCTATCTAGAAATTTCTTTCCTTATAGGAAAAAAAATTAAAAATCAGGCATGAAACACTATTTTAAACCATCTCTTTTCACACAGCATTTCAAAGGTCCGAAAAGTCTGAAAACCATTCCACTGTGGTATGGCAGAAGCATATGGTGGTGAGAAGCTGTATTGGGTTTGCATGGCCAGGTTTTGGTAACAGGGGGAGCTACAGGCGTGGCTTCTGTAAGAAGCTGCTAGAAGCTTCCCCGATGTCTGACAGAGCCAATGCCAGCCAGCTCCAAGATGGACCCACTGCTGTCCAAGGCCGAGCCAATCAGCAACGGTGGTAGTGCCTCTGGGATAATATATTTAAGAAGGGGGGGGGGGGAAACCCTGCGCAACAAACTGGAGCTGGCGAGAGGAGCAAGAATACGTGAGAGAAGCAGCTCTGCAGACACTAAGGTCAGTGAAGAAGGAGGGGGAGGACGTGGTCCAGGTGCCAGAGCAGAGATTCCCCTGCAGCCCGTGATGAAGACCACGGTGAGGCAGGCTGTCCCCCTGCAGCCCATGGAGGTCCATGGTGGAGCAGATATCCACCGGCAGCCCGTGGAGGACCCCACGCTGGAGCAGGTGGATGCCCGAAGGAGGCTGTGACCCCGTGGGAAGCCCATGCTGGAGCAGGTTCCTGGCAGGACCTGTGGACCCATGGAGAGAGGAGCCCACACTGGAGCAGGTTTGCTGGCAGGACTTGTGACCCTGTGGAAAGGACCCATACTGGAGCAGTTCGTGAAGAACTGCAGCCCATGGGAAGGACTCATGTTGGAGAAGTTCATGGAGAACTGTCTCCTGTGGGAGGCACCCCATGCTGGAGCAGGGGAAGAGCGTGAGGGGTCCTCCCCATGAGGAGGAAGGAGCAGCAGAGACAACGTGTGATGAACTGACCGCAACCCCCATTCCCTGTCCCCCTGCGCTGCTGGCAGGGAGGAGGTAGAGAATTCAGGAGTAAAGTTAAACCTGGGAAGAAGGGAGGGGTGGGGGGAAGGTGTTTTAAGATTTAGTTTTTATTTCTCATTACTTTTCTCTGATTTGATAGGTAATAAATTAAGTTAATTTTCCCCAAGTCAAGTCTGTTTTGCCCGTGACAGTAACTGGTGAATGATCTCCTTGTCCTTATCCCGACCCATGAGCCTTTTGTTATATTTTCTCTCCCCTGTCCAGCTGAGGAGGGGAGTGATAGAGCGGCTTTGGTGGGCACCTGGTATCCCGCCAGGGTCAACCCACCACACAAGCTCTACTCTGAAGAATATCCTCCCCAGAGGGTGCTTTTCATTTAATTGGAAAAGTCTGGGACCTGATTGAAGCAATAACATATGCAGTCTGTCATGTTTCCAACTAGAAAGCTCATTCTCACTGTGGTTTAAACATTAACTTTCCCTCAGCTATCATCACTGAACGTGTTATATTTTTCCATTAAGTTTTAGCCCACTGTCTGTATTTAATCCTGTTCTCCTTGGCAAGGCACACACGTTTTTTAATTCTTAACCACAAATTTTCTAAGTGGTGTGTTGATGTCACTAACTGACAACGTGACAAACTTTTCAAAACTTCCAACAAGAACTGGGGACTTGCTCTGTTGATTACTGCACATCTAAACCAAAATTCAGTCTCCCTCCAAAGGTTTATAAACTGCTATACTAAAGGATGCTAGCATCACACAAGCTGAGGTCAAGATATTGTTTTAACAGCTAGCTTTCTAAGTGGTATGTAAAATACAAACAAACATGGGTTGTTCTGCAAGCTGTTACAATTGCTTATTTGCAAAAATCTGGGTACTTTTTAAAACCCCAATTTTATATTCACAAAGCAGGTTGTTGAAATAGGTACGGAGAAACAACGTTGCATCAAGATTATCCTCAATGTGCAACTTGCGAGAATACCCCTAACTCTGGTCCTGATCTCAACAAACTGGATTAATTTTTTCTGTTATCTAGTGAATCCCTTCAAGGAAGCAATACCCAATACCATGAAAGCATACCACGGAGAAAAGTTGGCTCTACATCATCATTTTACTCAAGAAGAAGCAGGCAACATTACTTTCTGGTAAAACAAACAAAGAAAGAAAGAACTTGCAGGCAGCCTGATGTCAAAGCAGACTGCGGCTCAGAATGGCACGTCACGGGTGAGTGAATACTGGCAGTAATACAGCCTTCCTTGTAGCAGCGTTCTCAGAATGTGTTACATGTCTTAATTTGATCTAAGCCTCATTTTACAGAGGACTTTTTTCTGGATATTTTGTCTCACACGTGTGTGCGCACACACACATTTTGCATTCATTTTAACAGCTAATATTTCAAGGTGGCCAAAAATGTATACGCTTATTCAGGTTTTACTTTAGATGTATCATGAAGGGCAATAACATTAATTAAGCAGAGATGATGGTAAATGAAAAGCTCTACTAAATAGCAACACCAAGAGGATAACCATGCCAGAGATGCTGCTCTCTACCTGCCTGAATGCAGAGCTGCTGTATCAACAAAGAAAAGCTGCTTTTTCCTCACTGTTAGCACAGCTGAACAGATTATTGAACTTCAGAAAAAGATCCCAAGATAATATCAACAGCAACATACATTTCACACAAAAAAATTCACACACAAATTTCTGTTTTGCACAACAGTTCATCCAATCTACACAAACTAGGAGACGAGGACCTCTTGATTTCCCTTCTTTGAGCTCACTTGCAAATATTTGGGCTAGGCTTATCTGAAAACACAGGTAGGTTTTGAGGTGCGCAATCTTAGAGTGGCTGTATCCATATTTCTTTAGCAGAAATCAGGGCACATATCAAACAATGTTTTTCTCACTCCTACAGCCAAAAAGTGTGTAATGATAACACGACTTAAGAGTTACTCACCTCAAAAAGACATTTTTATTGATCTTTGTTTCTGATTGCACATCCTCCTTTCCTGATGTCGCCCCATCTTAATACTATCATGCTGCACAAAGTCCAGACAGAGTTTATAATGCAACTTAGACTATGTGCTTCAGTGCTTCTCAGATACCTGTACTTCCAGAACGGAACAGTTTTAACACTGGTCTAAGACCAGCCTATACAGCAAGATTTGCTTGAAAATAAACTTTAGGAGCGAGCATGTAATGTAAACTTAGACATCACGAGTATAAAAATATTTAAGAATAGAAACACCGTACTGCAAGTTGTATTATAGAATTTTCATCACCTCTTCCATTTAACATGCGATCGACTTAATAACTATTTTGAGTATTTTCTTTTTAAACCATCAAGGCTTCTTCCATTTAACATGCGATCTACTTAACTATTTTGAGTATTTTCTTTTTAAACCATCAAGGTTACTTTATATAAAGATGAGTATCTTCTTTCTCGCAGGAAGTGACAGTGGCTCATACTGTGTTTAAACACAGCAAAACTCTCCTCTTCCTTTTAGTCACAGTTCAGTACAAGTAAACCCTCTCAGCTAACCTTGAATTTTCTGTGGCTTCTTTAGATGCTAGAGCTGAAAGCATAAGTACATAATACACAGAATGAAAAGCAGTCATGTATTTAAGCAAGGCCGTACCTGAATACTCCTTCCATTTGGTCTTTGGTGTAGCCTTTTCCACTTTCACCTGCAGCAGATGCATTGCTCTCCTTTGTGCTATTTGGCTTACTTTGATCATTGCTACTGGCTGGTTTTCGGCAGTAAGCGCCTCCCCCAGCAGTACTTCCATTCTTCATAATAGCTTCCAACAAAACTATAAAACAACAGTATATCATAGTATCATTATAGGCATTAGCGATTAAGTCGGGGCTCTCAAGTATCTTAAATGGGAGCACCACATTGTAAAAGACTAGCTGCTACATCCTCCTTCCTTATTGATCACCACTTTGTACCACAAACGTTTCTGAAGCCAGTCTAGCAACTCCTTTTCGTGGCAAAACTATGGAAAAGTGTCTCAAAATTAGTGGCTGGACTCCCCTCCACCTCTGCCAAGGTAATTTAATACTGGAGAGAATTTGTCCAGGTCCTTAATAGAAACTAAGGTGTTTTTTAGAGGCACTGAACCCATTCTTTGGGGTGAAAACATCAGAATACCTTTATAAGCAACCATAAATAGAAAAGAACAACTAACCTAACACTCTAAAGAACCTGCAAATTATTCCATACAGAGACCAAGCCCATCTCCAGCACATTTCAGTTGCTACAGTACATAATTATTTGTAACCTGAGCCATTAGTGGCCACAAACTGATGCTCTATACCCCTTCCAGGCAATACCAGCTGAAATTCAAACTACTGTTAAATGCCACAGAGAAGCCAGGACCAACCAACTACACCCAACTCTTGAGACCTGGATCTTGAAAACCAGCACGCTTTTGCTAGATCTTGAAATCCTCTTTCCTTCCATGTTCCAACAGATCTCAAATTTAGCAGTTTTAATAAATCATCAGACACTAAATTTTCTTTTTCTTTCTGGATATAAGCCTGTATTTCGGGGGTATCTGTCTTACCAATAAATCAGAAACAGTATCATTCTAACTTAAGGGACTGCACACGAAGCATAATGTGGATCAAAGATTATTAAATAGTCTATCTTTCCTGAAAAGAGATCTCTTCAGAGCAAGATGGCAAACTACATAGGCCAAATTTGTTTCATAAACAACTGAGAGTTACTATCTGCATAAAAAATGCCCTAATAAAAATTCCCAAAGAAAAATGTCCCACTCACTGTGAAAGCATGTTATAGCTTTACTGTTAAAAAACATTTTCTTCCAGAAGCTAGGGAGAAGAAGCCTGAAGGATCTTCTCCTGAATCTAATTTAAAAATTTCTCCTCTGACTAGCATGGTCTCTCTTACAGCAGCAGAAAACTAGGATCCTACACATCATAGATTGTATCTCAGAGAAGCACAGGAAAGAAAAGAAAGTGGAGCTTTGTTTAAAAGGAGAAGAACCACTTCTCTAAGATGTGCTTCTTAAAGCTCTCCAGTATTTGCTTTTACTTATTAATTCACTTATTATCCACTGGCCACAGCAGTCTGAAGTACTGCAGATGAATAGCTACACTCGGCCTGAACAAGAAAGTCAGCTGACTTCAGTGCTGGTCCTGTGCTCGTGCCTGCCTCAGCAAGATTCATCAATTGATCAGATCAGGCTTTTTACTGCAGAAATAAAGAAAAGGCTAACATTTAGATGCTGAGTTGTATACCGAGAAGATGTTTTCCCTACAAATGAAATTAAGTTCTTGAAAACAGGAGAGCTATAGTTGCATTATGGATTATAGCTGAAGCACATATCCAAATATTTGCAACAGTTTATTCTAATATCATCCGTTATGGCATTTAAAGTTCTGTGGTAAATGAAGTAATAACAACTCCAACAAGGTGACTGTGTCTGCAGGCTAAGAACTAATCAACAACAGAGATTTGAACAGACAGTGCCCTCAGAATAAAGCATTTTCAGTCCAAGTGTGCTCCAGACAAGTGATAACAGAAAACAAAATTATTATTTTTCTGTTCTGTGATGTTAGATATTTAATAATGGTATCATGTGGGATCCTATCAAACACGTGACCCTGACTTACCCTCTAGAAATAATGCTTACTTGACAGTTTTGCAAATCTTGCCTTTATATTGGTACTGCTCTAGAAATTCCCCATCCCTGCACTAATGCTTGTGCAAAATCAGTAATAGCAATAATGGTAGAAACACAGGTGTAGACAACAGTTTGCATTTTTAATGCCCGGCGTCTCTTTCACAGCAAACTTAGCTGGTAAGTCTTTTCATGAATTAGTTTGGCTGCACTATACTTTCAACATTACTACTTCCTAACGACCTTCTCAGACCTCCCATCCCCATAATGGAGCTGCACTGCTGAGAAGACAGTGCAGGATGCTTGCAAAGAAAAAAAAAAAATCAAACCTGTAAGTGTTAACTTCTTAAGATAGCAGAACACAGCATATACAAGTATGCTACTGTTCTACATTGAAAAAGAAAACCGTACAAAGGGTCTGGGGCCATTGTTTTCTTCAAATAAAAGATACAGTTCAGACATTCAGAAACAACTTCGACTCTTCCATGAGCTGCTGGTGGCAAAACCAGCTGTTAGAACTGTAGTACTAACAGTGTACTAAAGAAAACTTTCACTGTGCATCTAGGTATTTTAAAATAGGACATACAAGGAACCAAAGACTTATTTGTTAGCAGGTAAGACAACGAATCTTATCTCCAAATGTGTCTGAAGGCTCTCTTGTGTGTACTGTTACCTGCTGCTGAATGAAAGATCCTCACTTGATTCCTTTACGCATTGAACATGGCCCCCACTTTCACTAATGGAAGAACTGTTGAATTCAGAATTCATACTAACACAACACCCTAAAAAACTAAGCTCACATACTCCTGAAAAGAAAAGTTTGTTTCTACAGGCAGCATCAGAAATAGTGCAAGAAAATCTTAGGAAGCACTGAAAAATAAAGCTGTCCTTACGTCATTTTCTGCCTTCAACTCTAAAAAGAACGGCACCTAAGTTTGAAAAGGAGATCTTGTCTTTTGTTATCTTTAAATCCACTCTTACAAATCTTTTCCAGACAAGCAATTAGTTTCCATTCAGTTGCAAGATGAATCCTTAGCAAAAATCATAATCAAACTATTTTGAACAGCTAAATTGAAAAACAATTTTCTAGCAAAGAGTGACATCAACATGAACACTGCTACTATGAAGTCATTAGCTAAGTAACATTAAATAAGCACTGACCTTACATTTCACGCTAGTAAAGCCTTAAAATAGCACTGCTGTAGTCAGCGTAATTCAGGCAGAAGCTTTGTTTAGCAAAACTAAACTTCACTGATGACTGAACTAGTGCTGAATGCACTTTAAATGCAAATGTCGCCAAAATCAAACCACACATAGTATTGTTTCAGAGACAATAGGTAAAACCTGCTCTCTGTCCTTTTACAGTCCGCTATAACATCGGGAGGAGGAAGCTCCCATCCGTAAAAGATTCAGTGCTACCGTCCTCATTGCTTTTATCACTGATGGAGCATCATTTGTGAAATGGTGGGCAATTGTTCCCAAAATGATACTAAAGATACAACCTATGAAGCATTCGTGACTTCAGTGACAAATTGGTACCAACTACCCTCTAATACATACCCCAAAGAGAAAATAAGTGAGCACAGTGACAACTGGGGCTGCACCATATTGTCCTACCACCATATAAACCCAACACATTATGACTGTAAAGTAAGAATTTGTGTTAGAACTGAGAGGTCACAAAGCCTTAACTGTTTCCTTCTCTTGGGTATGTGCTATGGCACATTTTTAATTATCTAATGAATTACTGGGGTTTTTTTCCAAGTGGACCCCCTGCTTAATTTATCTGAAAGATGACAGTGAGATAATGAAGCCGTAATTTTGTTTGTTCTTCACCAGTGTAAAATTCCAGTTCTAATTTATTGCACACCTTCCAGTTCCTGTCCTGAAAACAGGACATTCTGTGTCCTTGCAGCTTACTGCACTCTTAACAGGGCTATTTAAGTGCCTCAAACTTTAAAAAAAGAAAATAATTCAATGAGTTGGTGTTGTTTTGGGAGGAAATGGGACGAGTTGAAAAGAATTACCAACCTCCACAGCTAGAAAACTGAAGCACAGAAATATTACAAGTTTACAGAGTCCCCTAATTTCTAAGTACCTAGTTCAAATCAGGCCTAGGGCCTGATTTTTTTCAGTGGTATTAGGGCATCTGCAATTCCCACTAGCTTCAGATGGAGCCTTAACTGCCCACCAGTTCCACAAATCAGGCCCTTGTTTCAAGCTGAATACCTGAAAAACGAAGCACAAACAATTAGCTGTCACTAATGGAAACCGAGTGAAGTGACTTATTTACGATCACAGAAAAATTCTGTGAAGCATTTAGCTTCAGCACACAATTCCCCAGATTACAGTCCACTACCATAACCACAAGACCATCTTCTTTTCACCAGATCTGTACCTCATTTGTGACATACTTTGCTATTTCCACAGTGAATAAAATGAGTGTCCTACAGACAATAGCCTAATTAGCCATCTATTTCTTGCACTGAATATTTTACAATGGTGGTTATGTAGTAGCAGCCCTACTTAAAAGAAAAAAACCCCAAACACTCAAAACATAAATCAGATGGAGGTATCTTTTTTTTTTTTTCCTGAGAGCTACTGTAACTCCTCTTATCTTGGAGGTGTAAGATGGTAATAAGCTATGTGAAGCAGACAAAGCTATTCACTCTCTTTGGTGGAAGAAGCTGAACTGAAACCCTCAGCCTTTCTGCCTATTGACCAACACAGCTTCCAAAAAGCTGAAATTTTCATGCATGTCGTCTTCTTAAGCCACAGAAATTTAGGGAAACATGGCAAACTTCTGCTTCTTTTTATTTCAGAGATGTATCTAACGTGGCAAGAATATAAACAGTGGCATGTTCTTGATCCAAAGCAATGGTTACCTTCTTCCAGGTGATTTGCCAGCAACATCCATCCTGTCTTGCAGGAAAAAAAAACAACTCACACCCAAAAAACTATATACTATAAAAAAGAACAGCGCTGATGAGACCATCGCTTATTGTTTGCACATAAAAAGTAGTCAGGAGATAAGAGAGGACGGAAAACGTTCACTGAATCTGCTCACCTGACTTAAAGGCTTCACTACAGAATAAAATACAGCACAAAACACTTCCAGTCAAGATTTCACCCCAAAGTCATGTTCCAAAAATGGTAAATG